ACATGCAGCATGCAGAATATCTGTCGCAGCTTTTTTGTAATTTTTGAAATTTTAAGTTTTTTTAATTTTAATAATTTAATAGTCGGTTTCACCAGTAATTTAAATGAAAAATTGTTTTTTTATTTTATGTCAATTTCTATATAAAATTCAAAAATTTAAAATCATTTTTCACTTAAATTACTTTCGTGAAATTGGCTGTAATACAAAACTGATAAGATAGGTGTACCACCATTTTCGGCCAAAAACACGTTTTTGTCGAAAAATGTAACAACTCGCGAGATTTGCTCATATGTATATGCTGCACTTGATTCTGGAAACTTCGGTCGAAAATGTCATAAATTTATGTTGTTTCCAAAAATAAATTACCCGGTCTTTATGTAAAAAGCCCATTTCAAAAATAAAAGTTTTTTGGGGCTTTTAATAATTTAATGAAAACAAAACTCCATGCCCAATAATTTCTTTAATAAGTAGTTCTCAATTTAATGGTGCTACTCATATGGCGAAATAAAAGAAAATTAAAAATTTTACACAGCTGGTCAACATAATTTCCTCTCAAAAATTTTATTAGAGTTTCAAGGCAACGTTGCATCAAAAGCAGCGCACATAAGCACTAAGCTATTCCAACTTTCTTGAGTTCTGCTCCTAGTGTATGCGTTTATTGGCGAGTGTGGGTGTGTGTGTGTGTGTGAAGTTTTACTTATATTACACTGTTTGAGCTATAAAATCATGTGACAGCTAGCTAAATACTTGGATCCCGAAAGTCCCTAATACACTGAATGGAAAGTATATACAGCTGTTTATATGTACCAAAATGTACAAATGCATATGTTAGGTGCATATGAGCCTGAAATAGGTATTGGCGAGTTTTCAAATAGACGAAAATTTAGCTGCCCGATCAGCATGCCGATCATTGGCCTTAGCAGCATCTGAAGTGGAAGCATGTGGCATACAGCAACCACCATCAGCCACCCCAGCACCACTAATATTACCACCAATTTGAGCAGCAGCAGCAGCAGCTTCGCCATCTGCATCCGACTCAATCAAATTGTCATTTTCATTATTCTTGTCATTGCTGTCAACTGCTTCATCTTCATCATCATCGTCATCGTCATCGTCATCATCATCATCATCATCGTCGCCATCTTCAGCGCTATCCACTTGCATGCATGGCTGATGACGCCGTGCAGGTGGCGTTTGTGTGGCCATATTCAAATGTCGTGACCACGAATATTTTGCGGAATCCACCTCAGTTGTGGCAATCATAGTGGAAACTTTAGCTTCGATTTGTGTTCTTGCTGTGTTTGCTGCTGTTGTTGTTATCGCTGCTCCTGTTTATGTAGTATTGATGTTGTTGTTAACACATACATACATACATACATATATAAGGATGAAGAATTGTGGCTGATTTTGTTGTTGTTGTGTGAGTTTGACTTAACTTATTTTTATAAAAGCAAAAAGGTTTTTTGTTGGATGAAAAAAGTAAACATTCATTTAACTAACATTTAGAATTTCAAAATTTATTTAAAGCTCAACACTAATTCTAAAGTATATCAGAGACTGTCTATGCTAGAATGAATACTTGAAAAATATTAACTTCAAACCATAAAGCCGACGAAAATTTTTGAATCTTAAACAAATATAAGGTTCATCGTATCTAAAGTTCAAGTAGACTTTTGAAGATTTTTAATGGTAAACTAGATATGAAATTTTTCTCTAATTCAGGCATTCTTCTCTTCTTACTCATATCTGATCAATTCGACATTATCTTATTATGGTCCATGGATGTACCATGCATGTCGAAAGGATCGGGACACCTTGCAACTTGACTTGTGGCAATTGCACAGACTTGGATTCGAAGGCTGCCGTTGAATAGTTTTCTGCGAGCCTATGGCCGCTAGAATAGTGTGACCCAAACGACTTTTTCAAACGCTAACACAAAATGTTTCAAAGTGCAGTTGTCTCGCTGTTTATAATATGCGGATAGTCATCAAAACCGATAAGTGCTGCAGGTTTGAACGCGATTTCAAAAAGGCTAAAATTTGTTAATCGCTTGTCATCAGGTTGTCCGACCCCTCTAATATAACAGGCATGGCAAAATACTTAATTTAAAGATACTTTCTATGGACGAAGCAAAGCTATTACAGTCCTAATGGCGTGCAAGCGTCGGTCATGTAAACCCTGGGATAGTAGCCCCAAGACCCTAAGATAGCTGCACACCATACAAGTACAACCACCTACAGTGTACTTGCCTGAGTTTCAAGAACTACCCCGACCACGGCGAGGCAATCGCTTTCCAAGCTCCAAGGACTGTGGCAGCCATACAAAGATGCATTAAAGCAGTATAAAAAATTGGTAAAGAAAGCTAAAACTAATTCTTGGCAGTCACATTGCATATCCGTACCGAACTGTAGGGATACCGGCAGGCTAAGGAAAGTCTTAACCAAGAAACACACCAATCCCCGTATTATTAAAGGATAGGACGGTGCATGTACAAACATAGCGGAGGAATAACCAGAAGCCCTCATCAGCACACACTTTCCTGGCTGCGCTCAGTGGCCAAAAGAGTTACTTGACTTAAAGGGAAAGAAAAAATTAAATTACCTATAAATAAATTCTTACCATTCAAATCACCTGGACCAGACGGTATAGTACCGTTAACGCTATAGAAATTGCAGGAGCCCGTGGTGTGCCGATGATAGTGTGTCTGCAAAGCAAGTATCAGCTTGACTTACAACCCACATAGCTAGAAAAATTGTCAAAGTTGTCTTAATTCCTAAACTGGGAAGAAAAAATCACCAAAAAGCTATACACTTCAGACCAATAAGTTTTACGTCCTTCCTGTAAAGGTATTGCAAAGACTGTTAGACTTATGGCTGGTTTCCACTATGTCATATTTTGACGCCAAAATTTGTCTCCATACTTTGACACAACTTTATCTCCTTTATCCATACGTTTACCGTAAAAATTATGTGCCAAAAGCAGACAGATCGCCGATTTATGAGCACACGTACACGACTAAAGACCTATCCTGATCGAAATCCATCAACATTGTGCTTCTTAATCTCATTTGACAATGTCATTGACGACAAATGCCATTGAATTTGACATAGTGAAAATAAGCCTTTACACACTTAAAGCATATTTTGGGAAACTCCAAACTTTACAAAGTTTAAAATGCGTAAATCAAGGGAAGGTCAACTGAATCTGACCATCATGAAGTTGTGGGCGCCATAGAAAAATCAATCCACTACAAGCGGCCTTTATCGATATAGGGTGGGCCTTCAATAACACTACAATCGAAGCAGTTGTTCAATTCCTTGTAAAGGTGGGAGTATCTGGAGTGGATCGTAGAAATGCTTAAAAACAGAATCATAATTTCAAATATCACTGTCCCGTTATGTAAATAAAGGCACTCCCCAAGGGGCAGTTCTGTCTCCGCCACTGTGGGACTAAATGGCACTTTCCTAGATCTCAACAAAGGTGGAGTTAAGGTAGTATCATGTGCAGGTGATATAGTGTTAGCGTTATCAGTTATTTTTAGTTCAGCAATTAGCGAAATCCTAGAGAGAGCTTTGCTCAGGCTGCACACCTGGGCCACATAAAGCGACCTACCTAGGTGTATACCCGAAACAACACAATTCAAGCTTCCTACCTTAACGGAACGATTCTAACATTGTCCTCCGAGGCGAAGTACTTGAGTGCCGTATTAGGCTTCTAACTGAGCTGGAAGACAAGTTAATATCGTGTATCGCGTAGAGAGAGCCTACAACACTTCTTACACATGCAAAATGATATTCGGTAGGAGTAGGGGATTAAAGCCAAAGCTTGTCTTCTGGATTTACGGGGCGTTAGATTAGCGGCCAAAACTGGAATAATAATACAACTTCAGTTAATTCGGCAGTATACAACGGGCAGCTTGTGTAGGTGCTACAGGGGCAATTAAGCCGTGTCCATAAGTTTCCTTCTAGGCGGAATTTGAGTGGGAGCAGGATATTGGAGGAGAATTATACTGAAATCTATACTTACAGCTCCAAAATGGACTGCACTCTGGGAGCGGAGTTGTTTTATGAGATGTTGAGTGTCTCTCTCTCTCGTTTCGGCTCTGCTAACATCTTTCAAGCGGAAGTACTTTGGATCGTGAGGGCATGCAAAGCTTTATGGAGAAACTGCACAGGAGTACGAAAAACATGCATTTTCTCAGATAGCCAAGCGGTACTTCTGGCACTGGTCTCACTGGTAACAAAGTCTAAAACTGCAAGAGATTGTTAATGCGTCTAATATCTCTCATGTGGGTTCCCGGAATTTAGACGGGGTACGTGGAATTAAGAGGGAGAGATGATGAGTTGAGCAGAGACAATAAACTGTATATTCGGATTCATCAAAAGGGAACTACATTTGCAAATTGCGCATATGGCTGATATACGTTGGAAAACCCTTCAAACGTGCAAAACTGCAAGGAATGTATGGCCGCATTATGACAAACCAAGAACAAAGTGGTCTATAAAAGATACAGTGAGGTTAACTTCCACGACAATGGGACATTGGCTCATTGGCGGACACACAGTGTTGTGAAGATATTTGGGCCGCTGTGCATACCTGATATTAATATCTACACAGGCATCACAGAATTCACAACAAGAAAACTGGATAAGCGGATAACTAAGTTTAAGTTAAAACTAAAAAAGGAGCTGCGAGATCTTTAGGTCTAAAAATGGAGTATGAATACTTTCTGAAAGACATATGGTCTATAGAATAATTTGTGGTTCTTTCGCAACTTTTTGTAGATTGCATTAGGTCGGCTGGAGGACAATGAGCACAAACTATCGCATTTTTATTCTTCGAAAACTTTCTTAGGTTCATTAAGATAACAGAGATTATTAGACATAGCTTGGCTCTTTTTGGTAAGAATTTATGTTTTTCAGTCTCTGATATTATTTAAATAAGAAGTAACCAAATATTACACAACTACAAAAAATATTTGTGCTATTTTCCAAAGTCATACACACACATACACATGTATAAATAGTAGTTGTTAAAATCATTCAAATTTCGAATAATGACAGTAACGAGAATGGTAGCCATGACGATTTCTAAACATTGACATTGATGGCGATGGTGATGCGGACGCAGATGATGATGATGACTTTGTTGATGGTAATGACAAAAGGCCAATGCAATGCAATCCGAAATGAAAACATTGTTGCAAGCGGAAATTGAAAATGTTGCCAGATTGTTGTTGTTGGTTGTTTTCCCACAGCAATGCAAAGAGAGAAATATAACACCAACTGGTTTGGTAGTAGTGGGTGGTTGTGATGCATACACCTACATAGATACACATACAAATATATTTGTACAATTATGGGCAAGTGTACATGTGTATAAATGTATATATAAAGCTTTGGTCAAACTATTTTCTGAATATAAAATTGAATGATAGATAGACATGCGATTCGCTGCGAAACATACATACACACACAAATAAAATAGTTTTCCTGTTTTAAAATCGATTGAGCAGCTGACGGTTGCTAATGTATCTACATACATACAAAGTTGATGATGTGGTGCAAGTAAGTACGTAAGTACAATGTTGCTAGATGGCTCCACTCCACCGGTGCCAGTTGTACATTGTACATAAAATATGGTTGGGGTAGTGTAAATTTTGCAGTGCTAGTAGTGCGTATGTAGTTGTATTGATTGTGTTCCATGTGTTTAACGATAATTTTAACATTTAACGACAACAACAATGCGAGTCATGTAAAACATGATATGTACATCATACCGATCGACTGATGGGGCAGCTCGCTCCCGTGTTATATGATACTTTCACGATTACGTTCCATCTCTTCGGTTTCGTTTTCCGGATCGAGACTCGATGTCGATGAGACACCACATATTTGCATTTCAATTTCGGCTAATCGATTTTCTAAATCCCATTGTTGTTGTGATAGCTTCGTATTGAGCGCTTGATTCTCCGATTCGACGGTGTGTAGTCGTTCACGCAGGCGTTTAATTTCATCTTCTAAGGCTTCATGTGAACCGAGTAATGGCGTTGTGCCGCCGCCACCGATGCCACCGCTGGCAACAGACAGACCGCCGCCATACTCCAAATGCGAACTGGAGTCGCAGATATGTCCTGAGTGAGCGTAACATATAAATTAATGGAAAGAGAGAAGTAATAAAAGATAGAATAAGTAAATGTTTGATTAAAGTATTTCCACTGGTAAAGGTCACATATATATAGGTATGTGCACATGTGTATTTGAACCGAGGTATGTATGTAGATGCAGCGTGAAAACAGAAATTCGTATTCAAAAATATTAAAATAGAAACACAAATAATCGCAAAATCTTATTAGAAAATTTTAAATAAAAAGAAGTAAAAAATCTAAGTTCGGCCGGAGCTGAATATTAGATACCCAGCGCAAGTATTAAATATAGTTTTTTCGCCTTTCCGAAAACTGCCGTTACTTGAAAAGCAGGTGCCCATGTGCGCTTGGGTATAAAAAAAAAATTCAAAAGCAAAGATAAAACTTAAAAAACGTATGAAATGATATGCGGTGAATTAAAAAAAAGAAACACCAAATCCATGAATTCAACCCATATTCGGCCGCTAGTCGATTTTTCGACCACCAATTTGAAATCTCATATCTCTAGAGTTAAGTCTTATTTTTAACCGACTTCCAAAAAGAAGGAGGTTATAAGTTCGTCGGAATATTTTTTTTTTAATGTATGTTACCGTATAACTTTGGACCACGGCAACCGATTCTGATAATTCTTTTTGCATCGGAAAGGTAGTATCTGAGGGGTGTTCCCATAATAATCTGGTTGGATCATGATATATATATATATATTTTTTTTTATATGAAAATTGAAGTCGGTTTTGAGTTGCTTTTTTGTTTTGGATTCGATACAGCAAGTTAATCTGCCGTTTCAACCTTACCGAGTTTTATCACTCATAATTTAAGTATCTTGTCTCACAAGCGCATGTTTTTCTCAGAAGTTCCTCCCTGCATCGCCACTTACTCCAAATTTCAAGTCGCTAGGCCAACGAAGTTTACTTATTACCTTTGAACGAGTTCTACCCATCGTTTCGTGCACTGCTGATCGATATTTCGTGACTGACAAAGATATTTGGACATGCCAATATTTTCGATACTAGGTACACAACCTTTCTCAAATGATCCTCTAAGGCCTCGTTTGAATCGCTCCACCATGTCATCTGATTGGAAAACAAGTATAGTTGTTCTCTTGGAACACCGCTGGTTAAAAATTTCTTCTATGATCAGAGTGCAGTTTTATATCTCGCAACTTCCGCTACTGTTTTAGCTTTATTTTTTATAATCGGTTATACCTCCGGCCATTTCCTGTAGTAGTCTATAACCAACATGCTCGTAGGAATATGGCCGGTTACATCCACGGCATCCCGATCGAATGCCGGGTGTAAAATTGTCTTGTCATCTGGTCCTGACTTCTGGATTTCGGTCCTTTTGCCTACCAAACGAATATAACTTCCGCTTGATTTTCTCTAGTGCCCTCCACTGGAGTCATACCGGAATTCCTTGAGTACGTCCAGAATTCTTACCATTGCTGTTCCGCTGTGCCCATTTGCTACAAAAATTGTTAACATACTTGACGGATGTCGACTGGCGGTCGATTTTTCAATCAGTTCATATCAAGAAAAGGACTGGTCAAACCCAACATATACATTTTTTTTGGTATTTTTCTTTTTGTTTAGAATCCTGAAACCACCACTTTAAAAAGAAATGAAGATGGGGGCCGAATATGGATTGATATTAAAAGATTGCAGCTAATTAACATTCAATAAAAAATAATATTTTAAGCCGAAATTTTCCTTTACCATTATGAAATTATTTTAATAACGGAAACTCTAGTACATACCTGTTCGACTCGGTTGCGATTGTGGCCGCGTCGAATGATGCGATGTTGCGCGACTTCGCGGTCGATCATCCGAACTATGCACACTAGGGCTAACCGAACCGGGTGAATCGGTGGCGCGGGTGATGCGTTCCGTATAGGTGAGTGTAGAGCGGGGACTTTGAGCACGACTGCAATATTTATACATTAAACAATATTAGAAAACTATTATTAACTTATAACACATTCTTATATGAATGATTTTAGTAAAACAGTGTTAATTGAAAGGTAAGAGCCTAAATCCATAAAAAGGTCTTAAATTGGTACCCTCGTAGTACGGATAGTTATTTCTTTCGTTAATAGGCAAATTCTGACAACTATCTTGAAAGCTCTCTTCTGTCTTTTGACAGACTAGTTGCACGTTCTGCGAGCGAGGAGTTCTTAGCGTTATTCTGCTTGTAGTTTAGCAATAAAAAAATAAAGGGGGCACTTTGACTTAGTGGTATAGTTCAATTTACATATATATAAATTATTTTTATAAAAATTAAATGAATTAATAAAAATATTTTTCTATTTAAAAAAATAAAATCTAGTAATTGAAAAAATATAATTATAATTAGTAAAAAAAAATGTATAAAAAATATAAAATAATAATAAAAATTTAAGGAAAAAATAAATAAATTTATTAAAAGAGGAAGAAAAAATAATTAGGAAAAATGAAAAGATCCTTGCCCGAGAATTAGAATCGCGCATCTCTCGATTATGAAAAAATGGCGTGCTTTCTGTCAAAAGAGCTTTTCGAAAACTTTCAACTATCTTAGCCAGAATTGCCCTCTAAAGCTCGCATTTTTCTCGATCAAATAAAATGCATTGAAACTAAGCAAAATGCATATATGTAGTTATCAGCCTGCAATACTATAGTTATACATAAGAACTTACCTGTAAGATACACTTTGTTGCTGCTGCTGCTGAAGTGCGAAAGACAATGCTGTCGGTGGCGGCAGCCACATGTCCTCTAACGTTGTGCGTCCGCAACTCTCCACTAAGCCGGGTGTCGATTGGCAGCGTCCCATGGCAACTACATTAAAGTATTTTACTATATTGTCAAATACAATATACGTAATAAATAATAAGTAAGATACGAATCAATTTTTCGGGTAGGAAGCATATGGTGTGTGGATAAATTTTTCAATTAACTAACGAACTAAATGGTTTGATAATGCATATACAAATAGTAATTGTATTGCTTATATTAATAACTTATTTAAAAATTGTTTACTAAAAACTGTAACGTAAACTTTTTAAATTGAAGCAAATTCTGTTAATTAAGGCAATCGCTTAGGTTGGTGTTTATCTATTTTATTTAAATTTTGCTAATTTCCCTATTTACTCTACATACCTTTTTCTAGTGGCGCCTTCTTGTATTTTTCCAAACGCTTTACCGCTATCGATTCCAGTCGCACTCGCGCCGCCGGATACTCCTTTAAGACGTCCCACATGTCCTTTTTGCTCAGCACAAAGAGATCACTATAGCCGACCGAGCGTACTGAGGCCGTGCGGCGATTGCCTTTATTTTATATTGACACATTTTTTTTTTAAATACAAGAAGGTTGAACAATTAATGGCTGTAGATAAGCAGAGAAACTAAATGCGTATGTTGATGTATGTAACGTGCAAAAAGAAAAAGAAAATGCCAAAAAAAAAAACATGGTCTGCTTCTGAGGGATGTGTGCGTGTGCGTAAATCAGGTGTGAGAGTGTGCGAAGGTAAAGTGATTAGACATTTTTTTTGGAAGAGAAATTTCATTTGGTTAAATGTACATAAGTATTTATGATTAACGTTTTGCTATTAAGTACTTCAATTTACGGACTAAGAAAGTGTAAAAAATAAAATAAAACACAAAATAAGCTTTTGACTAAACAGCAGCCCTTAGCTAGCTGCCTGAAATCGTGTATCGAGGAAATACCTGCTACCCAAAAAATTCAATACGGCGATTTACTATTCAGCCAACTTACTTTAAAATTTGTTTTTTTTTTCTTCCGCGTAGATACTTGGCCCAAGAGGCAACCAAGATAAAATTTGCTTTAAGATAAAGTCTTCGCGATTCTTAAAGCACATTTAAACCGAATATATCAGTGGGGATTTCCCGAAATTAGATTATGGCAGGCGAAATACATTCAGTTATTTCATCTGTGTTAGTCCATGACCGGGAAACCTGGACTGTAATAAAAACGTGCAGTGGGGCAGTGCCTGCGTCCAGCGTAGGACGTAAAAATGGGGAACGTGTCAACTGACACGATTTATTTTATGGTATTTGCGTGTTAAAGAAAACTCACCACCGCACAGTTTACTTTTTTAGATGTGTAAGTGATCAATAATCTGTAACATTTAAACACGTTTAAATTTTTCTTCGCGTTTTTTTTTTTGCGTGATTAAGTAGCAAGTTGTCTACAGTGTTGCCAGAGAAAAATTTCCCTTGGAACTAAAACGGTCGAAAAAAATAGCTAAAAAGAACTAAGTAATACTAATAGTAGCTAAAATGAAGAGCTACATATTTTTGTTAAGGTTGAGCATCTATTGACGAAAGGTCGTTTTTACATTTTCGGCAAGTTTAATAAAAACAATGAATTTTATAAGTTTGAGCGCTGAAAAAATCTTTTAAACCCAAAATAAGGTGCATATATTTCGAAATCGTTGATATGGCACTTATAATAGTGAACCAAAAATACTTTACAAACTGTTAAAGGCTGTAATTTCAGACATTTGAATTGAATAATTTTTTCGCAAAATTTTTCTGGAAAGTTTTACTACCAGCTCTCCTTAAAGGTAAAACTAGTAAGGTAAAACGAAATCGGCACTATCATAAAAATTAATTAATTTCTGAATTCTTTAACCTAGATCCAAGAGTTATTGGTGGATACACTGCATCTCGAAATTTTCCATTTTATCAACGCTTAAGTTTTGGCTTATATATACCAAATACAACTAAAACTTTCCGGAGCTAAAAAATGCTACATAAATTTGAAAAGAGCTAAAAAAAAGTGCTAGGATTTTCGGGGATAAATAGAAAAATAAAGAGCTAAATCTAGCTCCAAAAGCATCAAAATGGCAACACTAGTTGTCTATCGATAGCCATAACACAAAAAATAAATATGCTATAATTTCACCTTGAAAAGTTGCCTCAAATTTAAAAAATAAAACAAAATATGTATATATATATATATTGCCAGTTCTTTTAGATTATTAAGAAGCATATCGGTTTATTTTATTTGTTGTATGTAACTATTATAAGCAGTAAAAAATAAACAAAAGTAAAAATCGACTTTTTAAACTGAACCGAAGAAGAATTTTAAATGATACCTACAATTTTCATTGAACCATCAAGATCTTCGAAAATCTATTTTTTTTTTGCAACGCAAAGTTGTATTTGGCTATGGTTATCTTAATGAAAATTATTGCTAAAATTTAAATTTTAAATTATTTTTTAAATTCTAGCGTCCAAAGATACCAACAACACTTTCATTAAATCAGCATTATTTATGATCCAATTCTCAAAGATTCCTGTTTAATTTTTTGAAGGCAAAGTTAACGTATTTTTTGTCTGAAATTATACGATTTTTTACTTTAAAGCCTTTTTAAGGGTAAAAAATGTAGCAAATAAACCTTTTATTATCAGCACAAAAATGAATGAACTTAGATTAATAAAAATTTAAGAAAAAGCCAACTTTAAATAAACGATCTTTCAAACAAAAACAAAATTTATAAAATATCTTTTGCCCTTTATGAACACTACGTCTCCAAAGTTGAAAAATGTTCGTCATTGACAGAGCGAAACTAAAAGCAGTTTTAAAGAATTCAGAGTTTTTATATTTAGGTCATTATTACAATAAAAAATATTTTATAATTTTTTTTTTTATGTTTGTACCTATTTTTGGTCACTCATAACTACTTTAATATTTTTATGCTGCTGGAGTTCTAAGGGATAATTTTTCTGAATCTTCTCATAAACCTTCATTTAATTTAAAGTCGTAAATTCCTGGAACAAAATTTTTGCACAAAGTACTTATACAAGCCGCTCTTCGTGAGCCCAAATAATAAAGTAACTATACATAAATTTGGTATTTTGTGTATTTGTAAATATTAGTTAATAATTTCGTATTTGTTTGTTGCAATCAATTTAAGCAATTTGATATGCAAATTACTGCAGTTTTTATGTGCAATATTTTTTTGCTTTGTAGGGATACAGAAAAAGGGGTAATTGTGTATAAGGCACTACATTATTTTTGCATTAAAAAAAATAGGGCAATGTCATAAGTAAATCTGTATTATTTTTTAAAATTAATTTGTCGGTTCAATATTACAATTATTTGCATTTTTTTTTTGGTAACTCTAATGTGTTTTTTTTTTTTTAATGTACGTCGAAACAAATTAAAATTATTTCATTCCCTGATAAATTGCGCATTCAGTTTCATAATGAAAATTGAGTGCAAAAAAATGTTTTCTTTGTTGGTATGTATTGTACTATATGAAAAATAATTGGTGATGTAGAAAAAAAATGAAAAACATTAATGCACACTTATGAAATCTATGGAAAAAGTGCTCTAAAATGCAGTAAACTAAATGGAAAAAAAAAACAGTTAATGTATATGGTAGCATAAAAAAAGTGTAGGTGCACAAAAAAAAAAAGATTGTTTTTGGAATGTACATATGCAACTAATTAAAAAGTAAATGGGGATAAATGTTGGAAAAACAGTTCAGTTACTGCCAGGCAAAGCAATACAACGAGGAAGATCAACGCTAATAAAATATGCAGTATAATTGGAATATTATTGGTGTTGGATGTTTTTTTGTTTTGTTTTATATTTTCATTTCTTTTGTTTGCATAATGACCACGCAGCATTGAAAAGGAAATTCGGTGAACGCTATTATTACGTACGTATGTATGTATTTGTTTGTACCTGGTTTGTTTTGTTTAAATGCAGTTTGCTTGTATGAGTGCTTGGGCATTGTATTACTGGCGGGTACAAATTAAAAATATTAGTTATAATAAACATTTGGAATATGCACAGCTGCCTGGTTATTAGGTTAGCTGGTTATGTGGTTACATTTTTAACTCAGTTTTCAAAAATAAAATACACCCGAGAATAATAATTTTTAACTAGATAACTTGACAGCCAGGCAGGTGTGAATACCCCCATTGTTTGTTTTTTTCCAAAATGCGTAGAAATATTTTGTGCCGGGTTGGGTATACATAAATTTAATCACACTGGTTGTACATTTGTAAAATTTAGTATAGGTTAAAAAGGAACACATACAATACACATCGGCCGGGGAGATATGGATCTTGGGCACTACGGTGCATTTGGCTATAAATACATTTCTAAGTAAGTATTCACTTCCTCCTGGTAACTCGGTTATGTGGTAACGTTTTTTTTTATATTCAGTTTACAACAATGTAATAATCATGAGAAAAATAATCCTTAAACTCAATTTAATAATTAGGAGGCCGTGAATACCTACTAAGCGTACATACGATTAAGTGCAATGACATAGATCAAATCACGTTATTACATAAACCAAAAGATATTAGTAAATACTTTTCACATAAAATAATAAAAAAAAAGAATTTTTAGTTTTTTTCTTTTTAAGTCATTGGAAAACGTAACATAATTAGCATCCAACCAAACGCAAAAAAAAATGGTTACAAAAATTTCTAATTAAAAAAAACTTGCTTTTTGTTTGTAGTTTTTGTTATTGTTTATGTTAGTATTAACTTTTATATGCTTATGTAATAATATGCTTTTTTCTCTCATATATTCACAGTTTTATTAACCCTAAACAAATATAGCCACTTAAACAATTTCTTTTATTAAATTTTTTTATTAAGACTTATATTTATTTTTCACAATACAACCCAAATTTCATAGAGTGCACACTTAATAATGAAAATAAAAATGAACTATAACACCGTGCGACAAAAACAAAAAAATTCAAAACACACGAAAGAATCGATATACTCACGAAACTATGGGCCAAATACAGTAAAACTGCGTTTTAAGTTTTTCACTCTGATGTGAGGATTTTTTTCAATGGACTTTGAAATTTTAAAGATATGACTAATTGAAATAATTATTTAAAAATATCAGTGCAATGTAGAATAACAACATGGGTACCAAACGGGAGTGAAAATTCTGTAGAATTAAAAAACAATAAAGTTTTTGGTTTACGAGGACGAAGAGGTATTGAAAATGTGCTTTAATAAATTTTAGCTTTTTAAGTTAATAGAGACGAAATTCGATGAGGTCGGGCGTATATTAGACCTGAAAACGATTTTTTTCCAAAAAAAAAGCGAATTTTTAAAGATATTAAAGCACAAATTTTGTAAAGAACATTTTCCATTCGTACTCGTCCTTATGCACCAAAAAATTTATTTTGTGTTCTGTGCTCTACAGAATTTTTCTTTTATATGATAGCCCTTATTGTTATACTACAGTTCACCGAATTTTTTAAATAATTTTTTTAAATCATGACGTCAGAGAGAAAAACTAAGTACGCAGTTTTACTATA